TTCTCACAACCAATTTAAGGAAGAAAAATAATGCAGGATGATACATTCCTATAATATTGGGACAATATAATTTTGGGCTAATATTCTTTTGGCTTTTATTTTCCTGAAAATGTGACTAAAATGCACTCGTTTATAACTTTTTTGTGTATCTTTGTTTTGGTTCTGGGGATTGAATCCAGGGCTTCACCTATGCCAGACAAGTACTCTACCCCTGAGCTACATTCCCTAAAGGAGAATTTTCTGATCAAAATACCTACAAGTCAAAAGGCTACTGGTGGGATCCAGGTTAGAGAGTACTTTACTATATCAAACACATACAAACTTTTCTAAGGCTTCTAAATTCACTTATTGCACTATCTGATTAAAATATTTTTAGAATTAAGCAATTATTTATGATTTGCCAAGGATTGAGATTTTTATCTCTTAAGTCATCACTTTTAAGTGGGTAACATAAAGAGTATTAGTTGACATCATAGTCTATTATTGTGGAAATATGTTTGTATTAAGCTTGTCTCAAAGCAAGTTTTAGAGGTAGAGAGACGGAAAGGAAAGCAGGAAATAAATTATATGAAAAATACATCCTCTAAATGTTGAAGGGCCCCAGGAATTTAGATACTCCATGATCTCATCCTGTTTCAAAATTTTAAGCACTATCCATACACTGGTGACTCCCAGATTTATATCCAGGCTGGTCTCCTCCGGACTCCAAACTAGTATCTCTCTTCTTGACCTCTTCAACTGGACATCTAGGTACCGTAACCCTCACATGTTTACCCCGAGATCCTCAAACAGTCCCATCCTCACCCTACAGTCTTTGTTCACAACCATCTTCTGCATTTCACCTCAGCATCCCTTTCTGGGTATAGAGGGCACAGAATTTGGAGTCTTTTCTCTTACTTCTCAATAGATCCTGTCATCTCTACCTTAAAAATATACTAATCAAATGATGCTCATTTGGACCCATTTGCAGTACTTTTAAGTTACTACCATATCTTGCCTGGATTTCTGTGACTGACTCTAAATTTGTCTCCCCACCTCTGCTCTTGCTTTCATTCATCCTCATATGGTCCCCAAATGATCCTATTGAGATCTAAATTCAATGATACTCCTCAGCATAAATCGTCTGGTAGATTTTCATCGCACCCAGAGTACGACCCAGTGCCCCTTAATCACTCTTTGCTCTCCCATCCCTTATTCTTCAGTCATACTGGACTCCTTCGCTTGAACAGGGCCTTTCCATATGTTATTCTATTCTTGGTGTATGTATGGCCTGCTTCCCTTTCTTTTTTAAGCCTTTACTTAAATGACCTTCTCAGTGAGACTTTCTATGGCCAGTGATCTGAACTTAGTACCCACATCCTCCTCTCATGCTTTATTTGTCCCTGTAGTAACATACCATGTATTTTGTTATTTTTACTGCTATTGTTTATCTCCATGAAGCATATATATTTGCCTGTGTATTTTTTCTACTTGGAGAAGTCCGTAGCATATAGTATAAACTCAGTAAAAATTAGCTAAATAAATAACTGAAAAATGGACATCATAAGAAATAAGGACTAAGAAGATGATTAATCAAGGTCTAGGAACCAAACATCCACAAAGGCTCATTATATCAATTTTCATCAAGATGTCTTTTTGAATAAAAAACAGGTTTGATTTTTCTTATCTATAAGAAACTTCAGAGATTAATATTCAAAAAGGACGAGGACAATGATAAATACAGATGGACATTAAATAATGTCCATTATAACATGTAACATGAAACTTCAGAGATTAATATTCAAAAAGGACAAGGACAATGATAAATACAGATGGACATTAAATAATGTCCATTGTTTGCCACATCACATAGCTAATGATTTTTAAAATTTATTACTATGTAGAGCTTACTATTCTTAGCAGACTGAAACTAGAAATGAAAAAATTGTCCATTGATAGAATTAGCCGTGTCTGGCACATAGTAATGTAATATATAAAAAAAGCTAGACTTGGATGCCACCCAAAGGGCTTAGTTATTTAAGTAATGTTATTTGTAAAGTGATTTCACAGTATAGGCCTGGTGTCTAGGCTGCTTACAGTTACATTCAGAAATAAAGTAATAATGACAATACTACTTTTAGATCTCAGAATTATAAATCCTTAGCTATTATTCCTAATCAACTAATAAGAAAAACAATGAATGGACAGGCTACAAACTTTCAAATGAGCTATACATGAAAAGGGCAATATTACCAGGCAGAGTTAGAGGTAGAATGACAGAATGGAAAAACAAAGACAGGGAGATAGGGATTCTAGGCTTTACTATGCTACTGGCTGGCTGTGTGATTTGGTATGAACCATTTAAGCTCTCTTAGGGACCTCATCTCTACAATATGAAGATGAACTGTTTGATAGGATTCAAAGGTTCTCTTAGAAGTCTCAAAAATTTTTCACTTCATTTAATCCTGAGGTAGGGAGAATAACAGATCCCACCCAAAAAGATGTTCACAATGTAATCTCAGAACTGAAATATGTTGTTCTACAGCAAAGGTAAATTAAGGTTACTAATAAGCTACTGTAAGGTAAGTAGATGGTCCTGAATTATCTGGTTGGGTTCAGTATAATCACAAAGTTTCTCATAATGGAAAAAGAGCGATGCCATGTGATAGAGAGCTGACTGACTGACTGTCCTGGCTTTGAAGACAACTAGTGGGGGAATGAGGGCTGCTGTAGCTAAGGGAAGAAAGCAGATACTCTCTTGCAGCCTGCAGAAAGGAGCCCACTCTCACTGACATCTTGATTTTAGTCCAGTTGGAACTATGTCAGACTTCTGACTTCTAGAGCCTCAACTAATCAATTTGTATTGTTTATGTCATGAAATATGTGATAATTTGATTCAGCAGCATTAGGAAACTATTACAATCATGACATGTATTGTAATTAGCAAAGTTGGACCCAAGGTTATCACAGATGCAGGGTTTTAAATAAAAATCCTATACTTAGGTATTCCACAAAGATCTTTACAGCCTAGGGAATTACGAGAGAGTTATGGGGGACTAAAATTTTCACTTGTGATTCATGTAAAGAGTAGGACCTATAAAGGAAAAAACTGGCAAGGGATAACAAATCAGAAAGGTTATCCATAATGTAAGTTTCTTATTTTTCTGAGTGTCAGTTTACTATAAACAGAAAGGCTGAGATGAGTAATCTCTAAACCTATTTATGAAACAAGATTTTAAAAATCCTGACAGAAAAGGGATCTTTGATTCTACTTGTTCCAACTACCCTAAATTTGGGAGAATAAGCCTTTTTATTTGTGGTAGTGGGTGTTGAACTTAGGGTCTTGTGTATGCTTGTCATATACTCTAGCACCGAAGTATACTCCTAGCCCTAAGAGTAGTAATTTTGGAAAGTACTCTAGTTATTCTTTGTACCTGATGGTTAAGCTTCATGGAAGCTCTTAGCTTGCTGACATGAAAGTGTTTTTGAATTTTAACCCTAACGCTGTTATTCTAAACATGCACTCTAACACTAAGCTGTTTCCCTGCTCTTAAAGTTTTTGTTTTTGATGGAACTATTTCTAGAGTAAAATATATGCTGTATTTAAAAAAATTATTAGTGTGCACTAGCCATACAGACTAGTGAGTTGCATTTTGGCATGTTCATACATGACATGCTGTTTTTATATAACATTAAACAGGTGCCACATTATCTTCTCCTGAAATCACTGCTCGTAACATCATACTATACTGGGCTGTTAAGTTGGTGATGCTCTAGATGGGATCTGACAATTAATGGCCTGCAAGCTGCTTTTTAAAGAATAATTTTTACCTTTTTGAAGGGCTGTTTAAAAAATAATCTAGATTATACATGATTTAGAAAGACTAAAATATTTACTGTGAGGTCCTTTGTAGGAAAGTTTGCTGACCTCTTTCTGAAGATTCATAGGCCACTTTACCAAATGTGTATAATTAAATTAAAGCTTATGCTGTCATTAAAGGAAGCAGGTCAGCTTAGCACAACACCTGAGATGGTAGCAGCTCAAATATTTGTGGAAAAATAAAGACCACTGGTATTTAAAATTTTTTTCTTTGCAGCTGTTACACACTCTCCTACTCTGTCAAAGCCTATCCCATGAATCGCTTCCCTATTTTATATTTCATCTTTTAAATCTTGGCTTGGAATTTTGATACAGGTGGGGTCAGTGATTGTCCAAAAGCCCTTTTATTTCCAGGTTTTTGTTATTCTTTGGGAAAGGATACATATGTTCTTGTAGTATACCTAAACTTTTAAAATAATATAGAATAGCATTATACGTCCAAAGCTGATCTCTAATATTTTAAAATGAGACAATCTGAATGGTAGGGTTATTTTGGAAAGTTTGAGATTTCTTTCTACAATGAAGTAAATTACTTTTATTTTCAGAAAGCCATCTCCTTTAATCTTACTGACCTAACTCAAATATTTTCTCATATTGTATTTTCTACCGTTATTTGGTTATAATTTTTAGTGGTGTAATGTGTTTGTGGATTTTTATTAACTTACACTGGGGTTACCACAAGGTAACTCATGGTGACAGTAACCCTGAAAAATAAATCGTAACTATAAAATACTGCAGGAAAGCCAATCAATAGGGTGAAAGACAAGTGATGGTCATTTTGACCCCCTGCTCAATTCACTATTTTTTTTATACAACCGGTTTAGAACAATGCCCAAACTGCATAGAGTTACGGCTGAGAAAATATTGAGTCCTCACTGTAACTGTTTGTGTAGGCAAAATGACATAAAGTTAACCGATTAGTCTTGGAGGAATAGGCTCAAGTTCATTAAAACCTTCCCTCTACTCTATGTCCTCTCACCTATTATTTACCTTTAAAAATTCAAAATTTGCGTTTGCCATGTCAGATGCGGGCTGCAAACACTTGCAGCGGACAGTTACACAGTCAGTTCCCAAAGTTGCAGCACCCAGGCACTACCCTCGTTTGCGAGCCTCGTACCCTGCCTACTGGCCCCCAACTAACCTGACCAGGTCTGTCATGCAGGAGCCCACCACCACCACCGCCGCCGCCGCCACCTCCTCTTGACACTGCTTCCCGGGTTCCCCGCACGCTGCCATTGCTAAAAGGTGAAGCAGACCAACCTGGACGCTGACCTTTGCCCTTTGCCCTTAGTCCGAGCCCCGTACCCAGAGACAGCGCTCTTACTCTCCCTGACGATACGGGGCTTTCACACGCCTACGCGGGTCGCCCACCCGATTGCCCGAAATAACCTCGTCCATCAACTGCCCCAGTTCTTCCAAGAATTGCCTCCCTGCAACGCCTCACGTAGTACAGCCCTGCCGATATTGAGAGAGTCATAGGCCCTCCACCCCAGCGAGGTAGGCACTGACAGGAAACTTTCAGGCACCGCGGGGACGCCTTTCCGAGCGCCCTGCCAGCCTCTGAGCGGGAGCGCGCACGCTACACGGCTCCCTGAGAGGCGGGACAGGGCGTCCCGAGAGCGCGCACGCATCGGGCCCGCGGTGCGCGCGCAGGTCGGTGCCTTGGTCGGGGGCGCGCTCGGGTAACCTGTACCCTACGTAGTCGCCGGTTACCGATCGGACTAAGTTCCAGGTACCTAAACTGGGGCTGGTGCGGGGAGGTTGGATCCCGAATCGCACAGGTGGCTCAGAGAATCACGGTTTAAAATGGCCAGTGGGTTGGCCTCCCCTTCCTCTAGAGAAGGCCCCCATTTCAAAGATACCTTGCTCACCCTCATCACGCTGGTCCCCTCAAGAACGAGCTCCCAAGGCCAGAGACTTCTTTCTCCACATCTGGCTCACCCTCTGGTCCCTGAATAAGCCCTCAGGATTAATCCCTTTTCTGCTTGATAAGGGGATCATACAATTTAGAAGGGAAAGTGTCCCTTTTTAGACGTTCCCCGGGGGAAGGGTGATTATTCTTTGGGTCAGAACCGATTTGCTTTTCCTGATGTTGCCCCTTTGAGAAATTGCGTCCCCCGTGTAACTTCCCTCGTGCGCTGTATGACGTCGATATGACGCAGCAGGAGGCCACCCCTTTCCGTTCCGTGACGTCAACCGGCTACACGTTTCCGTGTTTGTCATCCTAGCCTAATTGCGAGAGCTTGGACAGTGCTTCAGACGTCTTTTCCCTAGGCTGCCCACTGAAAGACCTTGTTTGACCTTATTTTTGGGTAGCAGACCTTCGTGAAAATTGCATTTTTGCATTTTCCTTCTGCAGTACGTCAAAAGTCAGGAAATACACGTTGCAGAACTGGCATTCAAAACAGGCTAGCCACCCACAATTTTTGCCTATTTGGGATTTATTATAGGGTTGCCTAAAATGTCTTAAAACTTATTACTGGATACTCTTCTCATTCATGTCCCTATTCACTGCATCAAGGGATCATCTTTGGCTATTCAGGAATCTCTGATTTTGGAGTCAGTATACGTTATTTTCCCGTTTGTTAGAATAGTCACATTTCTTTGTGATTTAATGCTGGTTGCGATTGTGCACTGTCAAAAGATAGTATTATGACTGTTCTGAAAATAAAGACAAATTCATTCCTTCCAGTGTCATTTACAAAATCATGACAGTTGTTGAATTCGAATGATGGTTGTCATCTTTAGTTTGGTTTGTCCTCCGGGGCAGCTAGTGAATCATTTAGGCCAGCTTCAGCAGTAAGTCAGCAGTAGTCTAGTTTATCTCTAGTTGTAAAACAATCATTCGTTTAAAATCATGACTACATTTTGCATGATGTATGCTGAAAAATCACCTTGATACTTTCCTAATTAGTCACCAAAGGTATTCCTGTTTATTTAAGAGAAAGATGAGAAGAATGGAGTTTTAAGAGAGCTCTGGATTTGAATTTTTAACTGTTTAACGGTAAAATGAAAATCAAATTCACCAGGGAACAGAGTTGTTGAGAATGACATTATAGAGAAGGGTGAGTAGTATGGAGCTGATAGTGAGATGCTGAGAATGTGTTGGCTGTTTCCTTTTTTTGTTTTTTAGAATTGAGAGGTAAAATAATAGTAGTAACTGTGGGAAAACACACAATTTCATATGTGAAGTCCTTTTGCTTTTTTCTGTAATGAGTATTAGTGTTTTCATATGACCTAGATAAGCATCCTTTCAGGAATTGTGATAGAAATAAAAGTAAGAAAAAAATCTCCAAAACAAGGGGACTGGGGATTTAGCTCAGCGGCACAGATGCCTGCCTGGCAAGCCTGAGTCATGAGTTTGATCCCCGGTACCCCAAACAAAAACAAAAAACAATAATATGGATTAATATACTATTCAAAAAGAAATCAACATTTCTCTGTATCATTTGCAAAATGGAATTAAAATGTCTTTCTTATTACCCAGGTTTTGAAGAGCAGCTACAGTGAATTCTCAGGCCTTTTTAATTTTAATTTTTAGACAAGGGCTTGCTGAGTTCCGTGGTTCCCCAGGCCGGGCTTGAATTTAAGATCTCCTGCCTCAGTCTCCCAGGGTGCTTGGATTATAGGCATGTGCCATTATGCCTGGTTGCACATGATTTTTATGATTGATAGTACAGTATATGAGATGCTTTTTAAAATTTTAAAACGAGAAAAGGCTAAAAATGATGATACAGAATTTCAAAACAAGATAATAAGAGATTAACAATGGTTAATATAATATTGTGTTATCTTCAAAGTAATTGTTCAGCTTACAAAATAAAGGCATGAAAAAATTATCAAACAATCAAACCGTGAAAACACAAAACTATTCTTTTTGATGAACTTGTGATGACATATTAGAATCGTGGGGCAAGTCAACTGCTGAAGGCCCAGAAGAGGCGCTTGTGTTATGTTTGCACAAAGGGTGACTTAGGAGCTAAAGTATAAAGCGTTTACCACTACGAACGGACTCCTGGGTGTCATCCCTATATACTACACATGTTAGTGTTTTTTGAACAATCACTGCTGTCCTTCTCTTTATTACTATCAGAAATGATTAATTAAAACAAATACTAGTTTGCCACTTTGTTTTAGCAGTGTCTTGTATGTTGTCATGTGGTATGACCCCTGAGAACTAGAACTGGAACAGTAGTTATTTGTAATTGTGACTGTCTAGAAATTAATTGGTTTTTGATGTGGGAATTCCTTTAAGATTGAGGAATAAAATGATATTCTGAATTGACTTACTGACCTCTGAAAGTGGAGGCTTTCATTTAGAAATCTATTAACAAGAATTCATGTACTTCCTCCAACCCCATTAATTTCTAAGTAACTTAGATATGACTTACTGGCTTTGCTGTGTAGTTTCAAGTATAAAGACTTCTTAGTGCCTTAAACTCAAAGACTAAAAGATCTATATTCTGTTGTTTAATATTTGTTAGGTCTATATTTTTGTTATGTGGATTTTTGCCAATCTGTTCCTCAGTTTTTGCTATATTCATTCCCCTATCAGTTTTTTAAGGATGTATTATCTCAATCCATAAGTATTTCTCTAGCTTTTGTGCCCTTGTTCATTTATTTATTAAATAAATGTTATTGAATACTTACTGTATGTCAGGTACTTTTGTTAAACCTGAGAGATTCAAGATATAGTCCCTGCAGGAGAGAGTTGCCGTGAGCAGGTAGGAATAGTTGTTCCTATTGAGGGAGGTATATCAGCAATAAATTTCTAGTAACAATTGCAAGCCGGTATTGCTTGTTTTTGAGTGTGTATATTATTACCATGAAGTTCTTAGTCCTCATGGGATACACGAGGGATTCCTAGCCCAATGGGGGGTTTTGTATGTTAGGCGAAGCACATTAGTGGAGGCCTCTTGAGTACAACCAAAGTAGAAGAGCATTTGTAATCACAGCTTTATTTATTATTTTCTTTTTTATTACTATTTTATTTTTTCTTTTTGAGACAGGGACTTCCTAGGCTCTCCAGGCTGGCCTCTGTAAACTCTTATCACAATTTTTTCCCTTTGCTTTCAGTGGTGACTTACAAGTCAAGTCGAAATGTCCCCAGAAGTGGCCTTGAACCGTATTTCTCCTCTGCTCTCCCCATTCATATCTAGCGTGGTCCGGAATGGGAAGGTGGGACTGGATGCTACGAATTGTTTGAGGATAACGGACTTGAAATCTGGGTATGTATACGAACTAATACAGTGCCAGTGCATGGACTGGGACCAGTTCAACCTTTAATAATAAACCTCTCACACCAGACTTACACACATTGCATCCCCTAGAAGCTGTTTGTCGTGATCTTCTCATGTGGTGATTCAGTTGGCTTAAAAAATTATTTATATATTTAATCTATATCTATATCCATATCTGTGTGTAGTCTACCACTAAGCCACATCTCCAGCCTGATTCCACTTGGCTTCTTTAGTTCTTGACATTTTGTATTGCATGATATTTTCTGTTGTAGGCTATTACTTTATGGCCAGAATGTTCGTTCTGTTTCTGGCTTATCTCCTTGTGAACAGTGTGCCATGTGGGTTTTAGCAAGTGTGTTTTTCATTCATTGGCTTGCTTCCTTGTTTACTGCAATTCAGGATACATGATAAGAATTCAGTTTGAGATTCTGCATCTGACATCACCTGATAATCTCTCTTAATGTGAAAATTACAATAGCCAAAATGAGTCATTCCTCACAATGAGGTTGAAACACCAGGATCTCATATCTAGAAATGATGTATTCAAAGGTGCATCTTATTTTGAAATAAAATTGGATTTAAAAAAAAGTTAGAAAAATACAACAGTAAGTCAACATTTTTTAATATTATTGATTATTCTACAAGTCCTATTTGAGTATTGCTGGTTTTCCCTTTTATGTACTTCTTTTGTGTCCAGGATCCAGTTCAGAATATAAATTACAGTTGTCAAGTCTCGTTAGTCTGCTTAATCTGTGGCAGTTCCTTAGTCCTTCTTGGTTCTTAGTGACTTTGACACCGTTAAAGATGTAAAATGTCCGTCTATGTGGATTTTTCTATTATTTTCCTTTCCTTTGGGTGAGGTATGCATTTTCTTTCTTTCTTTCTTTCTTCTTCTTCTTCTTTTTTTTTTTTTTTTTTTTTTGGTCTTTTTGAGACAGGATCTCTCTATGCGGTTTGGGCAGGCTTTGAGCTCACTTTGTAGCCCAGGCTGGTGTCAAACTCTCAGTGATCCTCCTGCCTCAGCCTTCTGAGTGCTGGGAGTTACAGGTATGAACCATCACACCTGGCTGAGGCATGTGTTTTCCTCCCATGAATACTCTAGATCCCAGAGCATCCGATGATGTTTCTATGTCCTTTTACTGGTGTATTAACTTTGATCACTTGGTTGAGATTGTGTCAACAGGTGTTTTCCCATAATAAAGTTATCTGACCTGTCCTTTGTAATTAGTACCTTGTGGACAATGCCTGAATTTTTGTCTGTTTTTTCAATGTACTTTTCTCATTTGTCCATTTTTCAACTACTTTTGTCCGTTAATTTTAACACCCACTGAGAGTTCTTATCTATACTTACTACTACTCTGGGACTTGTCTAAGAGTGATTTTCTGTTTCCTTCATTTCCTATACATTTATTGATTTGAATCCTATTATAAGATGGCACTGTCTGTTTTTCCTCATTTATTTAGTAAATAAATACTCAGTCATTTGTTTATGTCAGTATAATTTTTAAGTATTCATTTAATAGATAGCTTTGGTTTCCGATGGTTCAGCTTATCAGTTTCTGGCTTTGTGATGGTGTGAAAATCATGTGTCATCAGTAGAAACTGTGCTTGAATTTTTGAACCTTGACCTTTTTCCGGGCCAGTGACATGTGGCCCAATCCTCTTGATGCCAGCAGTGGCCAATCACAAGGGGAAACCGCTGACACCCTACAGTCAGTGTACTGTGTGTTAATCTCTGGTGCATTCAAGGCATTTTCAGTCTGTGATACTTTCAATTTCTGAGGGGTTTGTGGGGATGTAAGCCCATCATAAGTCGTACAGCAGCTGTACCATTGTCACTTTTTTTGTCGTTGCTTACTTGTTCTAATTTTGCCATTGAAACTCTATTAGGAGGCTTTTGTGACTTTGGACATATCACCATCACTTTTTCTTACTGGAAGTATTGCATTCTTTTTTTTTTGTACTGGGGATCGAACTTGTGACCTTGTGCTTGCCAGGCAGTACTTATGTCACTGAGCTAAATCCCTGGCCTCCAGTATTACATTCTTGATATTCTTTTTAGTTTTTATGTTGGAGTTTTTTTCTCTCTACAAATTGAATAAAAGGATATAGATGTATGTTTTTCAGTAGTAAGATTAACAGGACTAAGATACTTCTTTGGAATAGTAGGATGCTTTTTAAAAGATCTGGCATTGCTTTCAATTTCATTAATCAAATTCTTATATCCATGTACTTTTTGTTAGTCATTTTGCTAATGGTAGGCATACATTGATTCTTATATTTTTTATGGTACTGTTTTTTTTTAAATGGTTCTGGGGTGTCACACTGAGTTATATCACTGGTTTTTAGTTTTTTAAATTTTGAGATGGTGTCTCAACTAAGTCATGAGTTGCCCAGGTTGGGCTTGAATTTGTGATCCTCCTTCCTTAGCCTCTCAGAGGACTGCGGTTATAAGCATGAGCCACTATGCCCATTTATGAAGGAAAGGAATGTGATATAATATGAACTAAGATTAATAATATCCACGAGAATGAAACATGGGGTAGGAGAGTTGGAGCAAGAGGGAGGAAGAGGAAGGGAAGGGGAAGGGGATTAAAAAAGAAACAAGCTATGGTATGTACATGTATCCATGTCCCAATATGATTGTAAGCTGCACAAACTGCAAACACATAGTAATAAATTTTTTTTTTAAAAAAAGAAAGTTGTGGAAAGAACTCTGGTGGAGTTGATAGAAGGTAATTAACTTTTTTTTCTGGCTTTGAATATAAAAATTAACTACATGTTAGGGTCTTTAAAAACTATCTGTTGCAGTCAGGGATTGTGCAGAGATCAATTAGAACAATCAGGACATGGAGTTTATAATGTTATTTTATGATGGTCACCCAGAGTTAATACAAGAAAATGCAGGAAATCTACCCACAACACTAAACACATAGAATATTTAGCCAAGGGCCTGAATCCCACATGAGTCCAGATGAAAACCCAGAGCTCATGGAAGTGCCTCCAATGAGTCCAACTGGAGGTCAAGAGTCCACAAGAAGGACTCACGTCAGTCTCTTTTACGGATCCGGGCCAGAAAGGCCCAGAGGTCAGCAGTGGAAGCCAGAAAGTCCATGCCAGCAGGATGAAGGAGCTGTGCTGGTGGGATGAGGGTTGTGTGCTGGAGCTCAGAAGTCACACTCACAACAAAGACCAGGGCTGTCCTGAAAGGCACCACAGCCATCCTCAGCGACACGGAGGCCCCGAGCTCCTCCGAAGACAAGCACAGTTGGATACATGCCAGGAAGCCAGCGTGACAAGCCCATCCTGGAGACCAAGTGGCACACGTCCTCCTCTCCAGAGCCAGGAAGCAGTGCTCGATGTGAGGACCAAGGCTTCTCCAGGGGAATCAACGGCTCAAACAGCAGCTCGTAGGAGAACCCACAGTGCCACAAAGCTTCAGCACAGTAAGGCCCTTCCTTCTCCTTCTCCACATCTCCAGTTATGCTGGCAACTTTCCTCATTTGGAGCATCTGTGCTCAGCACCATGCTGATGTAATCCAGCTGGCGTTAAGTTGACCACCAGTTTTTTTTTTTTTTAATTTTTTTTTGTCTTTTTTGTTTTTATCGGTACCAGGGATCGAACTCACGACCACACACTTGTGAGGAAGGCGCTTATGTCGCTGAGCTAAATCCCCAGCCCCTGACCACCAGTTTTTAATCCATAACACACTATCTTAGTATTAATAGCCAGGGGTTGGGAATTGACCTCTGAATTTTTTTACTGGTTTAGAATTTTGTGCCAGGTGCTCAGGTAACAGTCAGATGCTCAGACAGGCTTTCCAGCTCATCAGTGGTGGGTGGGAAGTAGGGGTTGTGAGTTGAAGTTCATGCTTAGGATTCCTTCAGTTTTGATTTCCCAGATTGCCATAGACAAGTTAAATATAGATTGTTGCCTCTAGGGCTTTCTTCAGATAAACTTTGTCTCTGATTGAAGTCATCAGGGTCAGGTCTCGAGAGGGTATTTTCCATTGGCCCTTACTGCAGCAAGTAGATTGATAGACTTTGTTTGCTGTGGTCATTTCTTGTCATTTGTTGCTTTGACTTTGGTTTCATCTTTCTGGGACCTTGAAATCAGTTAATGTTTCTTCAGGTCTGAGAATAGAATTTGTCAAATGGACTTAGGGCATTTCAGTTTCTTACCTTCTCTGATTTTCCTTTTTAAATTTTGATTTCTTCTTTGTGCTCTTATCTCATTTTTTCAAGATTTAAAATTGTTGGCCTTAAATTCTATTAGCTTAATGAAAATATACCTAGTTCTACGTACATCTTTTTCCTTTCCATCCCAACTCATCTTGCACTTTACTGCTTGCAGCATCATACCCCTGAAAGATTTTCTCTGTTTCTAGGAAGGGGGTGTGCTTGGAGAAACAAAGGCACCTCAGGTGCAGAGTGAAGCTTCTGCTTATTTATGGCCAGAAGCAGTTAGAATTTTCTCACTGGATCTCAGTTTCCTTATTAATAAAATGAGCAACTGAATTAGATGACTGAGGTTTTTCAAGGCCCCAAATCCTATGAAAATAGCTCAAAAGTCCATCAACTGATGAATGGATAAATAAGTGTAGTATATCCAAATATAGGATTCTCCAGGGGAGAATATAGAATATTTGCAAATATAAACTATCGATTCGGCCATCAAAAGGAGAAAAGTACTGATTCATTCTGCAGCACAGATGAGCCTCAAAAACATTGTGCCACATGAAAGCCACAAATCTCCAGGTATTGTCCTGTAGGCTTATATGAATCCTGTAGGTTTATATGAATGTCCAGAATAGGCCAGTCCGTGGACCCTGAAAGTAAATCCTGTGGGTTGCTGGGGTGGGGGGAATGAGAAGTACCTGGTAACGGGTACGGGGCTTCTTTTTGGGTGTGACAAAAGCGTTCTAAAATTAGATAGCAGTTATGGTAGTGCAGCTTTCTGAATACACTAACACAACTGAACTGTACAC